CCATCCAATAATTTGAAACATTGGAATAGATTTTGCAATGTCGCAATAGTTGTAGGTGCCTTGTTACAGTTCAAAGCTTTTCATCCAATGTTCTTCAGGCATTGGAATAGATTTTTAATGTCGTACGATTCGATGGTGCCTTGTTTCCTATTCAAGGTTTTCCACTCATTTTTTATTTTGAAATGTTGCAAGAGTTGTTGATTCCTTGTTTTAAGTTCAATGTTTTTTTTAAGAAGAATTTTAATTGTGAATCAACCAATTATCCAGAAGGAATTGGTATTTGAGATTCACTTGCTACTTTTTGGAGATTGAATAAAGCTATTTTATTCATAGATTGGTATTAATGTTCTTGCTAATCTAAAAAATTTTGTTCATAAATAGAGCTAAAGATATTCACTTGCTACTTTCAGTTTCCTCAGTTCCTCATGCATATATTCTTCTGTTTGAGTTTACTTTCTTCTTAAATTTAAATTAATTTATTTTAAAATTAATGTAAAATGTAAAATATTGATTATAATTTATGTTACAGATAATTTAAAAATAATTTTTTCAAAATTAATGTGTGAATGGTTTTTTATCTACAAAAAACTTCAAATAAGTTGTTTTCCAAACGCACAAACCAAACAGCTAAACAATTTATCCAAAACAGGGGCGGAATTGTCATTTATCCAGAATCAGCTGTTTTCGAAATGCACAAACCAAACAGCTAGCCAACTTATCAGGATAAGTTGCTTACCAACAGATTATCAAGATAAACTGGATAAGCTGCAGCTGCCCTAAACAGACCCTTAGTCATTTGAAAATTAGCAAATTTTATGTGAAGTATTTTCATATAGCCTGAAAAATGTACTTAATTGCATTTTTAGTGAATCAAATGGAGTGTGTGTGATACAATACATAATCTACACAATTGTAAAGAAAAATATTCTAGAAATTAAACCCGGTCATATATAATTTTACAGAGACCATCTATGTGTAGCTTTATCTCACAATAATATAAATCCACAAGTCTGTTAAAAAAATGAAATATCTATAAACATCCATGTTTATATTCATTAAGTTTCATGTGACACACTGTTATAATTATCTTAAACTAATCATTTTTATTCAGAAATGTTTTGTCATAGTTGTTAGACTGAACTCTATCTCTTATAGTAATTGATTGCTCTACTGTATTATAGTTATAAGATTGAACTCTATATTATATAATTATTCACTGTAGTTTTATAGTTGCCAGACTGCATTCATCTGTGTAATAGCAATTAGATTAAACTCTTCTACATCCACTAATAATCTACTACGTTATAGTTATTAGGATTGCACTGTATCATATCAAACTTATATCCTCCTGTGTTATAGCTGATAGATTGCATTACGTTGTATGATAAACCTTATTCCAATTATGTTGGGACATTGTTCATACAAACTTCAACCCTTCTTCAAATGTTGTTCAAACTTTGTTCAAACAAATTTAATGCGCATCAGGCTTCCAATAAGTAGTTTGGGGCAAAAACTGAGAATATTTAGTCCAAAATAAATTTTCAAGCATACTTCTCCACAAAAAAAAAGCAGTAAACATATTTGGCTAATTACATCTATTATAAGATATATAAAGTCAATTTTTTCTTAATATTCATCGTATGGATGAAAACATATATACTAATTAAAAAATCCATGAATCATCAGATGCAAATATGTTCTACCAAGCGCATAAGATACCTTTGATATCACCATAAATAACATATCCATTTTCATCATTTATTAATAGCTTCTAGCACGGATAAAATATTACCTCAGAACTCTGCAGGGACAGTTGTCTGCGGAGTCCAATTAATGAAATTCACGTGAAATCCCAGCCTCACAGGCGAAAATAAGGAAAATAAATAAAACTTTGAGCGCGACCCAGCCCGAAATACAGCCCGATCAATTTCCTGGCAGCTTTCATAAAATTATTACGCAACCGATGGAGTCGCTACTATTTTATTGTCAGCTGAAGAAATATTTCGCAGCTCCGGATGCATGCAGCTAGGGTTTTTGGAAGAAATATTTCTTCAGGTTTTTGTGTTTGGTTTCGAAGGACTTCTCCATTATACATATGTCCTAAATTTTATTATTCTTATATAATTTATTAATAAATATAAGTTATGACATCTAAATAATTATTTTTATTCTTTAACACACTAATAACACATTAATAATACACAAATAACACACTAATAACACATAATAACACAATAACACACTAATAACATGTAATAACACATATAATAACACAATTATACACTTCCCTAGTTCGCGGTATAACACGTGGGGAATATTCTCTGCATGTTATATCGCGGGTTATAACGCCACCTCACGTGTTATAGGGCAGTTGTATAACACGTGGTGTGGCGTTATAACCCGCGGTACAACACACGGGGAATATTCCCCAAGTGTTATACCGCGGGCTAGGGGAGTGTTATAAGGCAGCTGTATAACATGTGGGGCGGCGTTATAATCTGCGGTATAACACGCAGAAAATATTCCCCACATGTTATACCGCGAGCTAGGGAGTGTATAATTTTGTTATTATGTGTGTTTTTATGTGTTATTATGAGTTATTAGTGTGTTATTGGTGTATTATTAGTTTTTTATTAGAGTGTTATAGAACAAAAAAAATATATTTAGATGTCATAACTTATATAAGAATAATAAAATTTAGGACAGATGTATAATGAAGAAGTCCATCGAAACCAAACACAAATCCGAAAAAATATTTCTTCCATAAACCCTAGTTGCATACGTCCGGAGCTGTGAAATATTTCTTCAGTTGGCAATAGAACAATATCAACTCTATCGGGTGCGAAATAAATTTATGAAAGCGGCGAGAAATTGATCGGGTTGTGTTACCAGCCGGGTCGCACGTGAAGTTTTATTTATTTTCCCTATTTTCATATGTGAGGCCGAGATTCCAAGTGGCTTTCGTTAAGTGGACTCCGCAGGCAACTGTCCCTGCAGAGTCCTGAGGTAATATTTTTGCCTAGCATGAGATGAATATTTTGTATGGAAATTGTGCACATCATGTGATGGATGTGAAACCTGAAAGAGACGTGATGTGATGGACAGCTTATGAATAAAAGTAAAATTAATTTATTTAAAAACTAAACCAATAGATTTGTTTTTAGATTTTTGACTTGCATGTATTTATCCCAACAGGTTACTATAACTTCAAATGGTCCTCTTTTCTAACAATTAATATTCAAGATTTAGATGATTCATTATCTTGTCACCTAATTTGAATTCTTCATATATAATATTCATATCTAAAATAGACTTATTATAACTATCATAATTGATAAAACTCCCGTGATGTAAACCATGACTATGACTAGAAGTAATACAATATGATATAATAATAAACTATTTGCATACATCTTAATTGATACAATATCCCTAATTTCTAGTGGAGAATATAAAGACAAGTTAATATTTGTTGGATTCCATAAAATTTCATTTGATTAATAACAAACCATACAAATATGACACGATAAAGCTAAATAAACATACAAATACAACATATATTACATGGATGGACATCTTTAAGAAAATATTATCGAAATAGTTTAAATAAAGATTACTGATGGGAAATTATATAATATTGGATTCAACTAGATGGAAATCATGTTTCCTTGAAGATCACTAGCATCAAGTGGACTTTTTTTTCTAATATTTTCTTATGGACTCGTAAATCAACAAAACAAAACCAAGAACAAAATAGAAATTTGCCCATGGTTTGGACTTCCATTAAGTCAAATTCATGTGGGTAAGCCTCAACACACCAAAAAAAAAAACAAAAAGCGAGTTAAGTGAAAAAATGAACAATTATAACCAGGTTTGAGCACTTATTATTGTAAAAAATAATGATTAGTTTGCATATAAATTTTTATGAACTATACTGAATAACAAATATCATTAAATAATTATCATATTTGAAAAGATTGTCCGTTGTACACTATATATAACAGTTCTGATATAATATCTATTATTATTTCAACCTCTTTCATTGATCATATTTATGCCCTCCATCTTCTTTATATCACAATCAAAATATTTCACCAATTAAGTTTGTTGCTTTCAAACTCATGCTTATTACTTTATAATCTCTACATTATTAGTGTACCAAGTACAGAAGTGTCTTTAGACTTATGCTTCAGATACATCATTGAAATTGATAAAGATCGAAAGTTATTTAGTTTATTCATCAGTGGATGGGTTATTATAGTAGTTAAGTTTTATTTATATTCTATTTATTTTTTAGTGCATAAGTTAGTAATTATTATTGGATTTAAATGCAGTTAGTAATTATTATTGGATTTAAATGCTCTAATGATTTTATTGGTGGATAAAAATATTTAAAATGATGTTTTAATTTATTAAAATCATTTTTAATGTATGCAACTCAACTTGTCTTGTCACATTCGGTAATCTTCTTTTAAACCCGGTGACTAGGGTGTGATATAGTCAAAGGCAGGTCTTCATTTTAAAAAATAATTTTTAAATTTCTAAAAGGATTGTGTGTACATATTGTGTGCGTGTACGTGTGTTTGCATATGCGTGCATGTATATAGGAAAATATAAATATGTTTAGATATTATAGATATATGATCTAAGGTATACATATAAAGTTGTATGTTATATGAATCTAGTTGATCTCAAGGGTAGACACTGAAACTGCAAAAGTACGTCGAATAGTTCAGAAAGCATTCCAACAACTTAAGGTGGTCTGAGAAGTGAAAAATTTATAATCTAGTTGGTATGAACTTAAACACTAATAAATTTTGAACTTGTGTACTTTCAGGTTCGCACAAAATAAAAAGAAAATAAAACACTTTAACAACTCTTATCTTAATATTTTGGTAAATAAATGATAAAAGATTTTTCACATTTATATCTATATCATTGGCACCATGCAAGAAATCAAAACTTTCAAGATCATAAAGAAGCACATATAAATAACAAACCTTTCCGAAGTTTTTCAGCATAATCTCGGCCACGATGAAAATAATCAGCACTGTAACTTGAAGGAATGTTTGGTTCTGATTTTGTTCTACCTGTAAACCTCTTTTCTTGTAGAATCTTTTTGGCTGCCTCAGTCTCTTCAATATTCCTCAACTTGAACCTGAAGCATATTGCAAATAAACAAACAGTTCTAATATAAAACTCGTCCATGGCCAAATTGACAGGTTAAACAAAATAAACAATTCTTTTTGAAAACCAAAGTGATAATGTCAAACAAACAGAAATCAATGCATTCCCAAATAAGTTCAAATCTGAAACTTAAGCTATTCTATAGATGCTCCTGACTTCAATTTAGCAACTTCACGTTACAATATTTACCGAAGGCCCCATTCAGACTACAACACCAGAAAAAAGTTCTAAGAAATTTTAGAGTGATTATGGTTGATGAGGATCTTGACCAAACAATCCCTTCTTGAAGGCCTCTCAAAATAAAAAAGTCACAACTAGAATAATTATCTAAATCGCCAGTCAAGACTTAATTAATTCATGTTAGACTTATCTTTCTAACATAAGAGCCATCTCAACTTTCTTGTAAGATTGCAAGTTATGAACATGATCTAAAATTTATTTTCTCATACGCAATCATGAATGTTAACCAGGAAAGGGCAAGATACGTTCAAGAATAATTGATCTTCATAGCCCTACAGTCAGTGAGAAAGACTTGACCAATACTTTTAGGTTTCCTCACAACCTCGATAATTCATCCCCTTTGCACAGGATTGTGGTCGTTTAGAATGCCTCCAACATGTAATCATAGAAGGGCTTTTAAAGCTTGATAGATCTCAATACCTCCATAAAGGTTCCATGATTAATTGAGATGCCAAAGCCACACACGGGTTCAACCAAGTTTAAGGTAGGTCATGTTGACCTCATTTTTGGTGAGGTCTCTTACTCTTATTAGAGCCTAGGATCTAGCCTCAGGGCTTCCTACCGACTCTCTTAGAAGACTAGCCTGGGACCCGCATCAACTAGAAATTCGAGACACTTCTTGACTCCTCGGAGTTTCATATGGTCGGTTCTAAATCCTCAACGCTTAGTTGAGTCGATTAACACCAGCGTGACAAAGCTCGAGTCGAGCACCCATAGGATCTAAAGCCTTAGGAAACCCTTCGTGTAGTCCGCGCACACTCGCGATGCACGAATACCACAATTCACGTGTCGATGCACAAAATTTTTGAAATTCACGCCACCTGCACCTGTAGAAGGCTCCGAGGTTGATAAAACTCGAATAGATTGCTGGAGCAATCGATCACGTGCGAGAATTTCGTGGAGATTTGAGTTCGACGCATTTTCTACCCGACCGTCGACGAAGTCGTCCAGGCAACCCTGGATGACAAAACAAACCGTGTCGGCGCGTCAGGGACATCGAATTGAGCTAAGGGAGACACCCATTCTTGATATGTTCGAGGCAGGGCCGAATCGTGCGCGAATCGAGAAAATTTGCATATCTTATATTATATAATTAATATTTATGTTATTATATAAATATATAAGATAGGGAGGGGCTGTGGGTTTTAATCTTTCCAAAATCCCTAATTTACCTCCTCCGCCTTCGGCCCGTCTCCCCTTCCCAGTTGCGAGCCAAGCCCCGTCACGAACCCTAATCGCGCCTCTCTCCCTCGGGTGAAGCCCTAACCACACCCTTCTCTTGAATTCTCTCCTTCACGTGACGAGGAGTTGACTACCTCTCTCTCTCTCTCGACATTCTCTGCCCGAATTGTTTCTTCTCGAAGCACTTTCTGCTTCGTCTTGTTGCGCGGGAAGCTCTTTCGGGGTAAGTTGACTCTGGCGTCCTTGTTCCCTGAGTCACGAATGCGGCATTTCTTCTCCTTCCCGATAGCTTCTACCCCCGTGGCTCTTGCTGCGATGGATTCCTTTTGTCGGGTCGAGCTCTGGGTTGGCCTCACCCTCCAGTAAGCTATGTTATTTCCTCTCCTCCCCTTTGATTTCCTCACATTTAACCTTGGAAACTTAAACTTTACAATTATTAAAGGCAGAATCATTGATCTTAATTGAGAGTCTTCTTAAGTGATTTCGGTCATTTAAAATGTAATTAATTCTATGAATTTGTCTCTATAGGAAACTTAAGAACCCAGCTTAATATAAACCCTATTTAATCTCTCGTATTAAATATGTGAACTTGTCGAATTATATTAAAAAAAGGTTTCGCGGACCCAACGGACGTCACAAATTTTTTAATTTAGGTAGTTAAGCCTACCAATAAGTTATCTGTATATTCTTCGGGATAGCGTACTACTTGTAGTATCGCGCTCAACCATCTAGACTATCAAATATGTGAGGTCCATACGGTCTCACTTTTCAAAAATTAAAATATTATTTTCAAAAATTATAATCAA